GTTTAGTTTGGTAGCTAATTATTAGATACGTTATAATAAGCTATTTTTCCATTAGATCTAACCCAGTTCCCAATTTATTACTTATTTCATGAGGGAACTGCCACCCACCAAATAAAAATAAATCAGGGTGATATTTTAATCTGAATGTACCTTTCCTGCTTAAATACCTTGTTATTATTATTTCTGATAGATCAGGATAGTGTTTATGTTGTTAGTTCTAACATGTCATTTTTGGATGCATGAAGATGGGTTAGCACTAGTGATGTCCCGAACGGTTCGCCGAACGGTTCGCCACGAACGGCTCGCCACGAACGGCTCGCCACGGACTCATCTGTTACAAAAGACTGGAAATCACTATGTTGCTGTTTTAACTCACCGATTGATACTGTTTGCCACTGCATTAGTTAAGCAGAAAACCACACGAATGGATTACGCAAACCCTTATGAAGGCTCCATTCGTGGTACGAACGGGGGACCCCCCAGAAACGGGCGTGTGCCGCCACTTAACCCCGTCACCCTGCAAACTACCGAACGGTCGACCACCCGGCCCTCGGAGTGTGGCAGCCATTAACCACCCAGGTGCCTGCGGTTTGCGGTTAACCACAACGTAATTGGTAGGCCTGGGGGCATCGACGTTCGCACCCAAAGTACCGAAGGGAAAATACCGAACTATCAACCGAACGACGACCCCCTACAGCGGGTCGCGTGGCACTCGTTAACTTGTGGTTTCTGCGGTTAACCGCAGGTCAAGTACCCTGCTCCCAGGTGGTCCTCATTCTCTTACCGAACGAGCCCACTACCAGACAGACAGCGGGACTTCGCATGAACTGATACCGAGTTTAGTTCCACGAGTTAGACATGAAGTCCCGCTGCTCGCTAAACCTGCAGAAAACATGGCCGCCAACAAAGACTAACAATCTCAAAATGCCGAACGGACTTTATACGGCAGAAACAGTACATTCTGTTCGTGGGATTAGAGCGCCATTCGCCTGTTTTATATACACGAACGCGAGCCTTCAGATGAATGGTAGAATGAGTGGTGTTACTGTAATAATGTACAAGTTATGGATTTTCATGTAGTTTGCTAGGACATAATAAAACGTGGTCTTTTGTGCGCTTGGAGATAATTAGATTGTAAAACCGTTGGCCACATTATCTCCAAGCTGGGCGGGTACTAATTCAAATGATACAGTGTACTGTGATTGGTTACCTGTTTGTACTGTACCTGTATTCCATCAGGAGTACATGCAGATGTGAGGTCCTATTGTAATACGTGTGAGGTGTGCCAACGGGTAGGCAAACGAGGAGACCACCCCAAGGCACACCTCGTTAACATGCCCATTATCGACGAGCCGTTTAGCCGGGTAGCCATTGACTTAGTTGGGCCCCTGGCCAACCCTAGTCCCTCGGGCAAGAGATACATTCTTACCATAGTGGACTATGCTACCCGCTACCCAGAAGCTGTGGCTTTATCCAATATCCAGGCAGACACGGTGGCTAATGCATTAGTGCAGGTGTTCTCTCGGGTAGGATTCCCTAGGGAGATCCTATCCGACAGGGGATCACAGTTCACGGCAGAACTGACCCAGCAGCTATGGCACGTTTGCAAAATAAAATCCCTTCTTAGCTCCCCGTACCACCCCCAGACCAATGGGCTATGTGAGCGGTTCAACGGAACCCTCAAGCAGATGTTAAAAACCTTTACCCAGGAGTATAGAGACTGGGAACGTTTCCTGCCGCACCTCCTGTTCGCTTACCGGGAAGTGCCCCAGGAAACCACCGGGTTCTCTCCCTTTGAGCTGTTATACGGTCGCAAGGTACGGGGTCCCCTGAACCTGATCCGTGAGCACTGGGAAGGAGAGACAGAGAACGCCGGGGTCCCCATCGTGCCTTACGTACTAGAGCTCAGGGACCGAATGGAGCAATTGGCTAAGTCAGTCCAGGCCAACCTCCAGGCGGCCCAGGGGCGACAGAAAGTCTGGTACGACCGGGGGGCACGGCGGAGAAGCTTCTGTCTCGGACAGAAAGTCCTGGTACTAAAACCAGTTAAGGCAGACAAGCTACAAGCAGCCTGGCAGGGTCCCTACCAGATAGTAGAGAAGAGAGGAGACACCACTTAAGTAATTGCCAGCTGTCACGATGAAAACTTAAGGAAGATATTTCACGTGAACATGTTGAAGGAATACTTGCAGAGACCCGAGGAAGTGGTAGCCATATGTAGCCCTGCACACGAGGACGCAGAGAGTCTCCCCATACCCGACCTATTAACCCCTAACTCCCCGGTTGAAATAGTGAGCCAAGTGCAGATCGGGGACAGACTTAGCCCAGTTGAGAGGGAGCAGCTACACAAGCTGCTCCGAGAGAAACAAGCCATGTTCTCCCAAGAGCCAGGGTACACTGAGCTGACCACTCACCAAGTAGATACCCCCGGCCAAAACCCTTTGAGACAGGTGCCCTACCGAATTCCGGAGGCAGTAAGGACAGGCATGAAAAAGGAAATAGACGAGATGCTGCGACTAGGGGTCACTGAAGCTTCCGATAGTCCCTGGGAATCCCCGGTGGTGCTGGTCCCCAAAAAGGACGGCACCATCAGATTCTGTGTAGACTACCGGAAACTCAATGACAAAACTGTCACCGATGCCTACCCCATGCCCAGAGTGGATGAGCTGCTAGATCGCATAGCCAGGGGGAACTACCTAACTACCATTGACCTCTGTAAGGGTTACTGGCAAATCCCCCTGGCCAGGGAGGCTGTCCCCAAGTCGGCCTTCGTCACCCCGTTCGGTCTGTACCACTTTAAGGTCATGCCGTTCGGGATGAAGAATGCCCCCGCTACCTTCCAACGCTTGGTGGACAGACTCCTTGATGGCTTCCAGGAGTTTGCCTGCGCATATCTGGACGACATAGCGATCCACAGTGAATCCTGGGAAGAACACTTGGCTCATGTGGGAATAGTCCTAGACCAGATTCGAGCCGCCGGCCTGACGCTAAAGCCCGAAAAATGTCACTTTGGGATGGCTGAGGTTCAGTACCTGGGTCACCGGGTAGGCTGTGGGAAGCAACGACCGGAGCCAGCTAAAATAGAAGCGGTCGCCAACTGGCCCACTCCCCACACTAAGACCCAAGTGCTAGCCTTTCTGGGTACCGCTGGGTACTACAGAAAATTTGTACCGGAGTATAGCGCCATTGCCAAATCCCCTGACCGACCTGACAAAGAAAAACCTTCCCCGACAGGTCCTGTGGTCTCCCCACTGTGAAACGGCTTTCCAAGCCCTCAAAACTGCGTTGATTAATGCTCCTGTCTTGGCTGCCCCAGCCCCTAATCGACGTTTTATTGTCCATACAGACGCTTCCATGTTCGGGCTGGGAGCTGTCCTCAGCCAAGTAGGAGATGATGGGAAAGAACACCCGATTGCCTACATCAGTCGAAAACTCCTACCACGCGAAGTCAGCTATGCAGCGGTAGAAAAGGAGTGTTTGGCTCTGGTGTGGGCACTAAAGAAGTTAACCCCCTATTTGTATGGACAAGAGTTCACTCTAGTTACAGACCATAACCCGCTGGTGTGGCTCAACCGGGTCGCTGGGGACAATGGCAGATTGTTACGCTGGAGCTTATCCCTGCAACCCTTTAATTTCACAATCACCTACCGACCTGGGAAGCAGAACGGCAACGCAGATGGATTATCCCGGCAAACAGATCTCAGCCCAGCATAACCCCACGAGTCTGGACAGCCTTAGTCTGCCCCGAAAAGCGGTCAGACAGTGTCTGCCAGAGTGTTCCACAAAGAGGGAGCATTGTTACAAAATACTGGAAATCACTATGTTGCTGTTTTAACTCACCGATTGATACTGTTTGCCACTGCATAAGTTAAGCAGAAAACCACACGAATGGATTACGCGAACCCTTATGAAGGCTCCATTCGTGGTACGAACGGGGGACCCCCCAGAAACGGTCGTGTGCCGCCACTTAACCCCGTCACCCCGCAAACTACCGAACGGTCAACCGCCCGGCCCTCGGAGTGTGGCAGTCATTAACCACCCAGGTGCCTGCGGTTTGCGGTTAACCACAACGTAATTGGTAGGCCTGGGGGCATCGACGTTCGCACCCAAAGTACCGAAGGGAAAATACCGAACTATCAACCGAACGACGACCCCCTACAGCGGGTCGCGTGGCGCTCGTTAACTTGTGGTTTCTGCGGTTAACCGCAGGTCAAGTACCCTGCTCCCAGGTGGTCCTCATTCTCTTACCGAACGAGCCCACTACCAGACAGACAGCGGGACTTCGCATGAACTGATACCGAGTTTAGTTCCACGAGTTAGACATGAAGTCCCGCTGCTCGCTAAACCAGCAGAAAACATGGCCGCCAACAAAGACTAACAATCTCAAAATGCCGAACGGACTTTATACGGCAGAAACAGTACATTCTGTTCGTGGGATTAGAGCGCCATTCGCCTGTTTTATATACACGAACGCGAGCCTTCAGATGAATGGTAGAATGAGTGGTGTTACTGTAATAATGTACAAGTTATGGATTTTCATGTAGTTTGCTAGGACATAATAAAACGTGGTCTTTTGTGCGCTTGGAGATAATTAGATTGTAAAACCGTTGGCCTCATTATCTCCAAGCTGGGCGGGTACTAATTCAAATGATACAGTGTACTGTGATTGGTTACCTGTTTGTACTGTACCTGTATTCCATCAGGTCCACAGGGGGCTGTCCTTGGACCTGGGGAATCACATAAATTGCCATGCTATGTGCCAGTAAAGCCAGTTCGTTTTGACCCTCAACTTGCAGCCTCGACTCATGTTGTAGGGATCCCGGATATTGATGCTGATATCGTGCTTAGGGATATTCTACATTTGCAGCTTACTACCGAAAGACCTCCGTTCGACTCTCTGCAGCGGGAACCAGGACATCCAAGCGATCAACCCTCCTGCTAGACCGGGGGCAATCGTAACATCATCATTGAGTAAACTTTGACCTTGTACCTCACAGTCAGCAGACACATTCCAGCCAATCAGCAGCAGACCCTCCCTCCCAAACCCTCCCACCTCCTGGACAGCATCCATTTTACATTCATTGTGAGTTGTCCAGGAGGTGGGAGGGTCTGGGAGGGAGGGTCTGCTGCTGATTGGCTGGAATGTGTCTGCTGACTGTGAGGTACAGGGTCAAAGTTTACTCAATGATGAGTCCATGGCCAACCGTTCGTGGCCAACCGTTCGGCGAACCGTTCGGGACATCACTAGTTAGCACCCCTAAACTAAAATGTGCTTATGTTTTCATTCAGTTTGATAGATATTTATTATTTTCTTAGATCTAGCTGATATCAGATTTATTGAGGGGAAGCCTAAAGACATGTTAGCCCAACCCTTATCTAAAAGTAGCACAAAATCATATTCAGTTTGGTAAATTCAAAAATATATAGAAAACAATCTATACAGCTGTAAACCTATAAAACAAAGACTATAATAGTGTAATACAGTATGAAACACGTGTAAACAGGCTGGCAACATTGCACTCATGGAATAAAGACATATATATATCGCCTTAGGGTGCTCTCCTTGGAATTATGAGGGGCTAATCAAGGGCTTCTCCACTCCTGATGTTAATCACTGCACCAATGTAGAAGGCAGGACTCAGGGCATATCCCAAGTCAGGATAAAATGTATTATTTATAACAAGAATAAAACAGAAAAATGTGAATAAAAAAATAAAATAAAATACAAGATACAAATGGTCATACGTGTTTCGTCCCAAACAAATAGGATTTCTTCAGAGACAATCAATATAATAAAAAAAAACATAAAACAATAAAATAAAATAAAAGCATATAAACAATTCCAAGGCAGGAAAAAGCAGTATAAATCCCTCCCCTTGAGTCTATGTATATATATGGCCAGTTACTGATCCTATTGATGGTACAGTAATAGTAGTAGTAGTGTACTTTACTAGTAGGATCACGGACTGGTCATATATCAACATGGAATTGAGAGGTGGGATTTATGCAGCTTTTGGAGCATTATCTGCTGCCAGTGCCTCAAGTAGCTTGACTAGTCATATTACTATTATTACCACCACCATCTCCATTCCCATTAGCGATAGTCAAATAAGTGCTAGTGTAGAGGTTAGTGTTATGACAACTTCCACTCCCACCAATGATTAAACACCCACATCTTCATTAGCCACTAGGCAAAGGGTTGAGGCTAATGTATTGCGCCACAGCAAAGTTTGGGATTACTTTGAGTTTTTCCAAGAAGTCAATTTGCAATTGAAATTATGTGGCAAGGAACCGAGTAGTGGAAAAATGATGAGTCATCTCACTAGTGCTGGTATGAACACCATTTTCTGTTTGGAGGAAAGAAAACAAAACAGAAAGTAATAGGGCAGTTAGACGGTCCACTGGTACTGTATCTAATTCGGTGCAACCAACTACCACCAGTCATACCTCCTGCATTACTTCCACTTTTAGCCAAAGCCAGATGGTGTTAATATAGTGCCACTAGGTGATAGGGACAGGCAAACTCCCAGTCCCCATCATCCAAGGACTGGGAGTGTTTCCACCACTCCACTCTTGAACATTTTGTTGAGTTTCATTTCAGGAACATGTCAAAACAGCAGGCTAACAAAATCACTCATCTGATTGTCGTGCTGTAGGAAAAGCTTATTTTTCCATGACAGGAGGGAGCCCTTCAAGCAGCTGATACAGGCTTGCCTTTGTAATTTCCTCTTAATTTACGTTTAGCAGGGCAATCCAATCAGTATTACCATTCCTTCATGCTAGTAAGGCTGTAGGTCAGTTTGTGTACTTCACCATAGATTTATGGAGTGCTCTACACCTCATGCACACAAAAACCCCTATAGACATACATGCAAACTACACCCTCTAGAAACACTACACCCCATAGATAAGTACACACACATGCTTTCTCTGTCTCTTTCTACAACCACTAGACAGACAGACATCCACACAATGTCTACAGCCCGTAGACACACACACTTTACAGCCCTTGGAAACACATACACACTACAGTTTCTAGAACACATAGAACATGCAATCCCACATTCAGCCTCCAACCACATACATCACCACAGACAGCCTCTCAACAGATGCACCCATTATTAGCCAATAGCCATGTCCCACTTTTGACGTCTGGTATCTCCCTTATACGGACACCAGGGACAAGTCACCAGTAAGCACTGAGCTGTAATGTGTAAAACAAACACATGGCATTGTTCTCATGTGAGAGCTCTTCAGCTCTTCATATGAGATGCCTTCGAGAGACAGCAAACTAACCTGCTGCATGTCATTGGTGATGATATGGCATGGCCCCTCGCTGTCCCTTACTCCTCTAACTGGGCTGTTCTGCCTTTAAATGCCCGGGCTGAATTTTTTTTCCCAGTTTGACCATTATTGTTTATCTCTTTTTCTTGTGTATGTGATAAAAATATATTTTTTTATCATATCAGACCCTGTGCGAAATATTCCAAGATAAAGCACTCTGTATACCTTCTAAAGCTCTTCATTTTCAAAATATTTTTTTTAGAAAGGATGATCAAATAATTAAATTAAAAAAAAGTGTACAATTACATCATTTTTATTTTTAAGTTTGTCTGCAAAGCCATCTATACACACTATTGCTGTGTACTGTTTAAGTTATTTCCTTAATAATTTCTATATTTCACATGTACAGATTCTAGGAGCTAAATAAAAGCTACTTACAATTACACTGTTTATCTAACAAGCAATTATCCCAGTAATTACAGTGACAGACTGCCCCTGTCCAACTGATTTTTCTAATCGTGCTCTTGATTGGAAAATCATAACAACATAACATAATTAGCTATGCATGTATATATATAAAAAAAACACTATTAATGATAACTTATTTATAGAATTATACTACTCACTGAGTTTATTAACAAAATATATAGACCAAATGTTTTAAGAAAACAGTGGGAGTTCAGGAGAAATCTATGAGACTAATGTTTATAGATCTCATGGAAACCAATGAGATTGTTCCTTTATTTATAGTATGTTCCCAAAACAAGTTACTTACTATATTGTGACAGACATCAGCATTCACCAACTGACATATTCACAGCATACTGTCATATGTCATCATGAAGACAGAGGATTATCCAGCTGGCCATATGCCATCACATAACACAGACAGTAATATTCATTGATGGATGTATTTATAGTGGCAAGTCCCTTATCATTATATGATTGATGTATTGGCATGCATCGACTGATATGCTCATAGTTGCATGCTACTTCAACAGATCAGTCGTTTTTTTTTTTTTTTTTATGTTGATATGTCCCAAATCCCCCCTTAGTTACCCTCCCTGTTTTCTTTTTTTTTTTCAAAATATGTTTACTTTCAAAGTTAAACATAAGGAAAGGTAGGGACTACTTCCTTATGTATAACTCGAAGTTTGACAAAAGTTGACAAAGATTGGAGTTTTAGTCAAGCTCTACTGCCTTCGCCAACTGTGATACTAGCCCGGGGGTTTATTTACTCACCTCTTTGCAGCACAGCGTCACATTCTGTAGTGGTGGCATCTCTTGGTCACTGCTCCTCGTAGGCTGTGAACGTCCAGCTACGGCAAGAGTTGTCTATTTCTGCCATCACCAAGAATCCTTGATTCTTGGTGATGGCAGAGTCTAGATTCAGACCGGCACTTAGCAAAAAATGGTAAGTAAAGCCTGTCCCAGGGTCTGAAAATGGTTTGGTTGGTGGTTCGTGGTGGGTCGGAGGTGGGGTCAACATTTAATTTTAGGGGCAAAGATTCATGGATCCCTCTGCATTTAACTGAGGAATCAATGTGGTAACAGATCGGCTTTACTATCCTGTGACAGACGCAGTAGGTTTCACCAGCACCCATGTTCATAGTCTTTTACCATAATAGATTTAGAGTAGACCTAACTGTGTTATGATGTTAAAATATTATATAACGAAGGGCTTTTATCGCTAATCACTATCCACTGAAAGATCTCTGTTTCCCGCATGCACACACTCAATGTTGTCCACTGAAGTGAGATTTCAAAGGTTTTTTTTAAATTCAAGGCCAAAATAGCTCAACTGGACACATAGCTGACATGGAGAACCTTTCTAGTTTGGCTACCGTAACCTTAAATTTGAAATTTATTTTGTAACCACTTTGAATCTCACTTTAGTGAATAATAGTGTATAAAACCCCATTGTAGTTTAAATACTAGTAATATAATTGGAAGCAGGGATGTCTGTTGCACTACCAGTCAGTCTATCTGGCACTAAAGTGAGAACTGTTAAAGTACAGAGAAGATTTAAAATTTTAGGTCGAATGAGTTGAACTGCAAAAAGAGGTTAGCATTGGCCATCACTCCTTCAAAGGCTTGCTAAGAATCATCGGAAATCTTGTTTGCAAAGATCTATGTTGTTGGGGTTAGCTGTCATTTATGTTACTATTTAAAAATGTCACATAGGCGTTGCTCGGGCATCTTTTTTCTTGTAATGTCCTTTTTTTCCTTTCACTCTCAGTGACCTTGTCTATGTTGATCAATTAGTGTCCCACTGTCTGGCCCAGTGCCTCACAAAAATAACATGAACTGCATTAGCTTAATATGCCTTGGCACTTTCAATATGACGGTCTACCTCTCCTGGATTTGTAAAATATAATTATGCTGCAGCTGATGGTATCTTAAATTGAATCAGTTTGAACTAATAGAGGAATGTTCTGCGATAACAAAGCTACTGTATTGCAATATGTGTTCAGAAATGGAAAAAACAAGCTACTTCTATTCTATAAATAATTACCCAACTGCTCAGAGAATAATCAAAGCACAATGCAGAGATTTCATTTGACACAAATAAATCCTTGCCAGCTATGTGGCTTTACCCCCAAAAATAGAACTTCACAGATACACTAAGTTCAGCTTTGGCTTCCCAAACGAGAGTCGTCATTATTGCCACAGATATAGAATTGCACACACTGCAGTGTAACAAAAAAGCAATCCCTCTTTTTGCTTAAATGCAAGTTAGTTCACAGAGACAATAGCAACCTCCAAACCTACAGGCTAATCATGTCAAGCATTATAACAGCATGTACACACTATGAGCAAGCACACAAAATCAGTTCTTGACTAAGGTTCTAAAAGTGTAGACATCG